AAATTTTTTTTTATACTTTTTTAAAAGTATTGAAGGATATCCGATGTTAAACATTTTATTTATTATACAATCTGGTCTCATAATTAGTAAACTTATTAACATTTCAGGTTTCTCCCAATCCAACTTTATCCCGCCCATTATAAAAGCAGTTGCAATTTAAGTTGCAATGGATGAGTTTTACTCGAGGTAAGTTTATCTGTGATATAATTAACAATTGATCGATAATTGATTTGTAACGGGTTTTTGTAAATTTTTTTTATAATGGAATTGATAATATCGTGTATGGATTGTTTTCTGTCTTCATATTTTTTTTCCTTTAAATAAAACACTTTTGAAACATGACAAAAAAAAACCTATGGCATACCTACACTCTTCGGGGCAGTATTGCAATATTTGAAGTTAAATAGTTTATTTAATTTTTTTATGTTTAAAAAGGAATTACAGACTATTACCGTGTCACTTTTCAAGATTAAACGAATACAAACTTTAAAGGTAAGTTAATTACAAATATAAGTCTCTATTTCTTTTATGAAGCAAGCAGTCTGTAATTCAACCAATAAACGATTATTAAATAATAATATATAGTTCAACCAATCTCAGTATTATTCTGAAATCTTGTACATTTTCAGATAAATTTATAGTACTATTTCTTTTTATAGATTTTAAGGTTTCAGTAATTGTGTAGTATCAAGTGCAATGTTTAGTTCAATTTTATTTGTATATCTAATCCTTATCAGAAATCAAATAACCATTATCTTCTATCTATACATAAAACAATCAAATTTAAATTCTGCTTGTTTTAATTTTTAATATGGTTTTACTATAAGTAAAAGAATTTGTTATGAAAAATCTATACATTGTAAGTAAATTTAATCGATTTTGAAAACGGTCAAAAGTTAGGTGATGTATTTGTCTACATAAACATTTACTAAATCCCTTGTAATCTTCCCTACATGAACACACTCCTTGCAGGGGAAAAAATGTGTCCTTTGTCACAACCTGGAATGACAGGTTTGATGCCCGAGGGGCTTGGCCAAAGGCGGGAGCGACTCCTCTCCTAGTTGAACCCCGTATCGAGGAGTGATGGGCGAAGCGCCTAGGTGCAAGTGTTCTCGAGACACTGGTTGGTGGAAAAGAATTTTCTTTATTTAAACGACTGTTCTTATACACTAGTCCCAGCTTCTATTTATAGAAATCTATCTACTATTGATAAAGCATCGATTGTGAATGGATGGTAGATGATCCATTATGTTCAAACCATCTACCAAAACTAGTAAAGTTATAATAAAACTGAAAAATGTACAGAAAATAAGAATAGGGAGTGAAACATAAATAAGTCGTATTGAGAAAAATTCTGAAATTTAATGGATACCCACAAAGAATTTGAATGCGCATACAGAATTATTAACCAAATTAATTTGTCAGCTGAAAACGCTGTACCAATTAATTTGTTTAAAGCAAAATAAATTGTAGCAATAATAAATAATATCAATAACTTAAAGCTAAAGAAAAATAAAACTTTAATTTTCTGGAATGAAAACAGCCTCCAAAATCACATCGCAAAAACAATCAATATTTATTAAACCTAACTTTTGACAACTGTAAAATACAAGAAAGCATGCGCAGAATCTAAAAAAGCTATAAGCAAAATGAAATTGATGGGGAAAGCTTTGCAAGATATGCAACCCTGTATTCAAAACCCAATAACAAATGACAGGATCCAGCATAAGATCTCTTTATAAAAACTCATCGTCATCAACTAAAAAACGTCAACAGCCCTAGAAATCCCTACGCTCCGTAACACCAGATTAGTATAGCAAAAATATACGGAAGAAAATAACATCCTGCTGATTAACGTATTTCAGTATAGCAGAACTTAAGATGGCGTTTAAAAGTAGCAACAGTTCTGCACTTGGTCTCGATAAAATCCACATATTTTAGTCATCGTAGTTGACTATATTAATTATTTCAATTAAGTATTCTTTTTATCTGTCTTGATTGAGATAACAGAATTAGTGTCATGGGCGTAATTTGAACCTTTGGTTCAATACACCTTTAACCACTTGAGGTATCATGACTTCGTTCCACATGGACAGCAACAAATCTTAGAGTAGTGGCATAATGAGCCGAAAGTCGTTCGAAACCTGCTCGTGACACTAACTTTTTCATCTAAACCAAGACCTTAGATAAGAATAATTAATTGAAATATTTAAAGAATTAGTAACTTAGCTAACAGCTCCCCGTGGCCACTTCATAAGTCGGCGAGTTCAAATCCTGATTACACGACATTTGAAAATTTGGCAAAAAGAAGGAAAATTCGAGGTTGAGAAGAGGAGTTGGTGTCTATGTAATTAATTGAATTAATATTAATTTTAGAATTATTATGATTCATAATATTAGAAAATTCACTGATTTCGTGGTCCGCTTGACCAATTAATACATTACAATTAATTAAGGTTTTTAGTTTAGATGAAAAAAAAGTTAATGGCACGAGCGGGATTCGAACCCACGATCTTCGGCTAGATACGCCGCTGCTCTACCACTTGAGCTATCGTGACCTCGATCCACTCTGACATCAACTTCCTATCAATTAAGAAATTAGTGAATTTAATGATTAAAATGAAGTACACTTCACTAAAGCTCTCCGTGGCCATTTCATTTGTCGTCGAGAATCCAATCCGATTACACGACATTTGAAAAATGGCAAAAAGGAGGGGAAACTCATAAAGTGGGGTTGAGATAGGAAGTTGATGTCCGAGTGGATCGAGGTCACGATAGTTCGAATCCCACTCGTGACACTAGCTTTTTTATTTCAACTAAAAACCTTAATTGTAATATATTAGAAAATTTGTACTCTTTAATCTAAAGCCTTGGTTGAGTTGAAAAAGCAAGTGTCAACAGGATTCGAACCCACGACTTTCGGTTCAATCTAGCCTCTGCTCTAACCCTCGACCTGTTATGACTTCAATCCATCCAGACACCAAATCTTCATCTCAACCTACAACCTTTCCAATTTTTACCTCTTTTTTTGCCATATTTTCAATTATGACTGATAAACACACATGTATTAGTAAAATTACACCCCAAAAACAATTTCACTTCCTAAATATATTTAACAAAATATGGGGATGTTTCCCCCCCTCCAATAGAAGGAATGCTTGGTCCTCCTCAGAGGAAACATTAACCTCATATAATAAAAAAAAAAAATTTTTTTTTGAGAGAATGATTAAAAATCGTACGGAATGGTGAGTAGAGGTTAAACATAAAATTCCATCTTGTTAGTCATTCCACAAAGGTAAACCCACTATACAGAACATCGTTAAGATCGTAACAGATATTTAACTAAGTCTAACTGCAAATAAATCTTGTTTAGCTGCTTTTTTAGACTTAGTTGGTACCTACAATAGTGTGACTCTCATTCTACTATTCTACCTATAAAAATTATGGCAATAGGCCATCATTCAAAGTTAGTTAGGATATCCCAAGTTAACAAAAAAATATAATATTGAACAGGAAATTTTTCTTGAAAGTAGGGGAAGAAACAGTCAGTCCATATTGTGTGCAAAAAGGACTACTTCAAGGCGGGAAGCTAAGCCCTATTTTTTTTTAATTTTTGTTCTTGATAATAACTTACCCCAGAAGTCAATATTTTATTTTATGTCTGTATACACAATTCATAAAGAAGTCAACATAGGGCAAGAGAAAGCAAGAAAACACGTCCTTGATCGAAGTCTGGCTGAGTGAAAACTGAATAAGCCTGTCTTGAAAAATCCCTCAACATTTTCGAGAAAAATAATGCTTCCATAAAAAGGAATAAAAAAATAAAATTGGGCGAAGACGTTAAGTTGAAAAAACACATAAAACGTTTAGGTACGAAGTCAGGAAAATATTTTAAAATCCTAAAATCTAACTACAGATGGGTCAATGCAAAAGTGACATTATTATTCTACAGAGCAACAATAAGAGCTATTTTATACGTGGATGGAGACTAACTAAGCGAGAGAATTAGGGTGACAAAGAAAAAGAAAAGCCAAAGGAGGAAAATAATACCAGTTTCAAAAGTCTCACACCATCGATTACTAGTCCTGAATTTTAATTATTATAATTTGGAATGCAGAAGTATTTATGCCTGGTCGGCCTCTATGCTCTATTTATGCCTCGCTGGGTTTGTCTGTCAGGCAAGATTGGAATTTCGCCATCTTCAGTGTTTATATGTTATAGGAATGTTCATACCCCTTGGTACCTATGGAATAAAGATTAATTGAGACTTGATCTTTTTTCTCCTCTCTTTCTCCTTCCCTCTCTCACACTTATAAATCCTAGAAAAACACAAAGCTGCAGCAGCGATTTCCTCGACCATGAAATCCAACACGGCACAGGAAAAATAAGCGAGCATAGGCCATCTTGGGCCAAGGGTTGGACCATCTATTAGCACAGTGTGTGGTGCCAAGCCCACATCCAATGTGCCGTGGTGCCTACTTTGGTGACCAATGCATTGGTGGTACCGACTGGACCTCAAGTCAGGTGAGTGGGGCTTTCGAGGAGGTGCTTGGCTACCAAAATATATTCAAAAACCTTAGTTTGATGGGTGGGTGAATTTGTTTTTGGTTTTGTTTATATTATTATTTTTTAATCTTAAAGCTTTATTTTATTTTATATATTACCAACTCCACAGTTCATATCTTCTCTATTGATAGGTTGAAAAATTCCAAATTCTCCGTGGTTGAAAACCTTTATTCAATTTAGTAAATTACATGGACGTTCGGGCTCCTGGACCATCATCAGAAACTAAACATGGAGAAATCTCATGGTATAATTACCAATTTTTTTAAATAAAAGTATTTATAGCTTTAGTTTTAATAATTTGTTGTTGGGTAAGGGATATTTGAAGAATAATTATTGTTATCTATGTTGTATTTTTTTTATATAAGTTTAATTTGTTTGTTTTAAGTTCAAACTGAGGTTGAAGTTCCAAAGGTTAATAAAATTTACTTTACAAAAATTCCCTTTTATTTTATTAAATTTTTTTCTAAAAACCTTAATATCCCTGGAAAAGAGCGTATGCAAGGAAGTCATTTTTCCAAATAGGTTTTTTTTGCTTTGTGTCACATCTAGCCACGGGGATACTCAATACTAACAAGGTGTAGGTTGTACTTTTTCAAACTGAAGAACAATCAGACTAGATTAAGTGATTTTTTATTTTAAAAAAGAGAGTAAATTTTGACGTAACAGTTTTATTGCAACCGGTTTATACAGAAAATCATTTTAATGATGGTACAGGGGGTAGTGGTGGACGGCGTGTCCGACTCTCTTGACTTCGGCATTGAAACCGTTGTGTTTGTCAGCGGTGTAATGGACTTCCCTGACAGTACCGTCGGGGTCTTTCAGCATGTAGAATCCCTTGACTTTGTCTCCTTCCCTGGTTTCGTGTTGGCTCTTGTAATCGCCCGTGTGCTTGTCCTCAACTTTGTACTCGTAGCTGTAATGAGGAGGAGCCTGGAAAAAACACAAAAATCACTGTAATTTCAAAACATTTTGAGTTTGTCCTCAGCGTACATAATAGTCGACGTGCTCGTGACGTTCTTCTCCACCGTAGAAAGCAGAAGCGACAGCCATGCAGGCAGCAAGAACAACGAATAATTTCATTTTTCCTTCAAGCTTGGATTGTCAGAACCAAATCGAGACTGATCTTGATGTGATTGAATTAGGCTTATATAGGCCTTTCCTTTCTCTCCTGCATAAATTTATTATTGCACCACCTAGTTTACGCCTCTTTGAGTCAGTTATCATATTTACTTCATCTTAGGCTGATTTACTAACTGTAAATTAATCAGGAAAAATTGAAACTTTCGAAATTACTTTAGAACTTGTTAGAGTTTTAAAGTGTTGTTAGTTCCAGTCATGATTTTTCATGATGATCTGTCCTAAAAGCAGCAGACAAGTGATTTTTACAACTCTCTCTGGAATCTAAGAAAATCAGCCTTTGCAAACTTTTTTCACAATCAAGTAACATGACATGATAGAGCAGTTGGTTGGTAGTTGTAAAGATTATCCACAATTCCCCAAGCCTAATTTTATTTTTTTGCTTGCCCCTTTGGCACCATATGACATTAAACAGTTGTTAAATTTTGTGTGAAAAGTTGATGATGCTTATGAAGAAGCATGCTTTAAGTCAGGTTGCAAGATTAAAAGCATTTTTTTATGTTTATGCGTGAGAAAAATATACTGCGATAAAGCATCGAAGCAAACAAGACAAGGAACCCAAGATATGCTCCCAACTAGTCATGGAGTGAAAATTGATTGGAATGCCTTCAGAGAAAAATCAGTTGAGTCTATCTCCCAAAAATGGTGGCGACCACCAACTTGAGCTTAGAAAATAAAATATTTAATTAAACCTATATCAAATTAAACAGCACTCCAACTTTCATAAAAAAAAAAAACCTATTTAGCAATACAAAGTCAGGCCATCGGAATTTGGAGATTTACTACTTGGAAGCAATATCTGAGCAAAGTTCAGCCACGCAACAGCTCGATGTGGAGGATTACCAAATGTTTTAAAAACCAGGGATGCCCAGAGGTATCCTGTGCTGAACCTTATATCTAAAGTCAGAAAATATATAAGCTCAGCCAAGAAAACAGAGCTTTTGCCCAAGCTTTGAAAACTGTACGAACAACTCAGGTCTAGGAATGCTTAGAAGCATTAGTAAGCCACAAAGTGAAACACTTACAAAGAACTAATTTCAAATGAAATAAAAACCACAATAAAAATGTTAATGAGAAAACTCCCGGTGATAAAAATATTAATATGCTCGAAACTTCATCCAACAAAGCACTAGTGTTTTTGATCTGAATTCAATGGCCTCCTATGCCTAGAATACTTTGCAAAAATTTTCCAAAGGTAGAAACGCTGCATGAGCCCGGAAAATACAGATTCCCAGAACTATAGGCCTATAAGTAAAGTCTGAAAAAGTAATCAACATCGCCTGAGAAAATTTATGATTTGGAATGCCACCTTGATGCCGGGACAGTTTGGTGATCCAAACTATCCGATCCTTTAGGAATTAACATTAATACTGATAAAATCCCATTTTAACCTTAAATTAAAGCACATATTTTGAAAATACAAGATAGAAAATAAACATTTCGTTGACATGTATGTACTTTAGTAGAATAAATTAGTTGAAAAAATATTACATTCTCCACTATATGCTTACTGCCCCAATAAGAAGATACAATTTCCTCGAATTCAAATAAAGCCCATCACAGACCCAGCTTTGCAGGTTAGAATGTGACTTGCAATTTCAATAAAAAAAAACCACACTAGGGTAATATTACTAGACAACAATAAAGCTCTTGATGTATGGCATAATGGAATATCTAAGATGATTGACTGCAAGTTCTCAAATTAACTAACTAAAATGATAGTATCCTACTTAAAAAATAGGAATTTGGATATGGCAACTCGTCAACCTCTCGATCTCAGGGGTATTTCAAGGAAATGTACTAGGCTCTCCAGAATATTCTTGTTATATTTAAACAATGTCCCTGTGTCAAGTGTTGTAGCATATTGGCTGATGATGCAGCGCTCATGGTATTCCTGGTGGTAAGAAACGGATTAAACAAAATTAAGAAAATAGATAAGCTTTTCGGCAAATGGAAAATAAGGATCAACCCAATACGGTGGATTTTTTTTTTTTCATGAAACAAATTGGGCAAAAATTTCAGGGTAGATGTGATATCCTGGTCAACATCAGTCAAGTATGTTGATATATGGTTGGATAATAATCTAAACTTTACAACTTACATGGACTTACTTTATCATAAACAAAGGAAAAAAGTGTATAAATTTCATTCCTGATGTTCTTTCCTAAAAGAAATTCTTTTCTCAATGAAATAAACATTTTGTCAAACTCGTATAGGACTTAGTTCTTTTCATAATTAAAATCTAGCATGTAATATGATAAAGACAGCTAATAGTATTTTTACTGTACTCTTCAGCTTGTAAAATAATTTAATATAATGAATGCAAAGTTGAATGAATATGAAGTAACTGAGTCAAAGAGGCGTAAACTATGCTGTTATGCAGTAAACTAAGGCAGGAGGGAAGGGAAAGGCCTATATAAGCCTAATTTTATCAAATCGAATTCAGTCTTGATTTGGTTCTGAAAATCCGAGATTGAAGAAAAAATGAAATTATTCGTTGTTCTTGCTGCCTGCATGGCTGTCGCTTCTGCTCTCTACGATGGAGAAGAACGTCACGAACACGTCGACTACTATGTACGCAGAGGACAACCTCAAAATTTTTTGAAATTACAATGATTTTTGTGTTTTTTCCAGGCTCCACCTCATTACAGCTATGAGTACAAAGTTGAGGACAAGCACACAGGCGATTACAAGAGCCAACATGAAACCAGGGAAGGAGACAAAGTCAAGGGATTCTACATGCTGAAAGAACCCGACGGTACTGTCAGGGAAGTCCATTACACCGCTGACAAACACAACGGTTTCAATGCCGAAGTCAAGAGGGTCGGACACGCCGTCCACCACTACCCCCTGTACCATCATTAAAAAGATTTTCTGTATAAACTGGTTGCAATAAAACTGTGATATGTCAAAATTTTCTCTCTTTTTTTAATCAAAAATCACTTAATCTAGTTCCATTGTCCTTCAGTTTGAAAAAGTACATTGCACCTTGTATTGAGTATCCCCATGGCTAGTTGTGATGACATAAAGCAAAAAAACCTTGTCTTTCCACTTAAAAATATGGAGAGGCCCAACTATTTGGAAAAATGCTAATGGAAGCCAATATGCTACGTCAGTTGACCTAGGGACATCGTTTAAATATAACAAGACTATTCTGAAAAGCCTAGTACAGATCCCTGAAATACCCTGAGATCAAGTGGTTGACGAGTTGCCATTTCCAAATTCTTATTTTTTATATAGAATACTATCATTTTAATAAGATAGTTGGAGAACCTGCAGTCAATCATCTTCCATATTATTCCATTACGCCATACATCAAGAGCTTTATTGTTGTCTAGTAATATTATCCCAGTATGGTTTTTTTTATGGAAATTGCAAGTCACATTCTAATCTGCAAAGCTGGGCCTGTGTTGGTCTTTATTTGAATTCGGGGAAATTATATCTTCCTGTCGGGGCAGTAAGCATATGGTGGAGAATGTAATATTTATTCTACTAAAGTACGTACATGCCAGCGAAATGTTTATTTTCTATCTTGTATTTTCAAAATGTGCTTTAATTTAAGGGTAAAATGGGATTTTATCAGTATTTCTGTTAATTCCTAAAGGAGTAGATACAGTTTAGACCATCAAACTGTTCCAGCATCAAGGTGGCATTTCAATCCATAAATTTTCTCATGCAGATGTCGATTACTTTTTCAGACTTTACTTACAGCACTCAGAAAACTTATAGGCCTATAGTTCTGGGGATTCCAGGCTCACACAGCATTACTACCTTTGAAAAATTTTTGCCATTGAATTCAGATCAAAAACACTAAGTGCTTTCTTGGATGAAGTTTTGAGCATTCTGTTATTAATATTTTTGGCACCAGGAGTTTTCTCATTAACAGTTTTATTATGGTTTTTATTTCATTTGAAATTAGTTCTTTGAGCTGTCTCACAGAAGTGTTTCACTTTGTGGCTTACTAATGCTTCTAAGCATTCCTAGACCTGAGTTGTTCGTACAGTTTTCAAGGCTTGGGCAAAAGCTCTGTTTTCTTGGCTGAGCTTATATATTTTCTGACTTTAGATAGTAAGGTTCAGCACAGGATACCTCTGGGCATCCCGGGTTTTTAAAACATTTGGTAATCCTCCACATCGAGCTGTTGCGTGGCTGAACTTTGCTCAGATATTGCTTCCAAGTAGTATTTCTCCAAATTCCAATGGCCTTTTTATTGTTATAAGTTTTTTTTTATGAAAGTTGGAGTGCCGTTTTTGATATAGGTTTAATTAAATATTTTATATCTAAGCTCAAGTTGGTGGTCTATTTGCACTTTTTCAGACTATTTGCACTCAATATATACCCATTCTTCAGTAAACGATTTTAGAAGAGCTTCAGACAGAAAAGTCAACCATTTTTCGGAGATAGACTCAACTGATTTTTCTCTAAAGGTATTCCAATCAATTTTCGCTCCATGACTAGTTGGGAGCATATCTTGGGTTCCTTGTCTTGTTTGCTTCGATGCTTTATCACAGTATATTTTTCTCATGCATAAACATAAAAAAATGCTTTTAATCTTGTAACCTGACTTAAAGCATGCTTCTTCATAGGCATCATTAAGTTTTCAAACAAAACAAAAACTCGTTCTTAATCTAACAACCTAATACCAAAATGTAGTAAACCACTCATGAAATTTAATTCAGAAGTGCAAAATTTGTGATAATTTCGATCAAAAATAGTCTTACACGTGTTACAGTTTCCTCTTGATTCAACAAGACGGGCCCAACTCTGAATTTTTTTTATTAGGAACAGAGCCCCAGAGGTCTTGATCGAACCTGAATGCAAACCGATCAGGTCCTTTTTTTACAATAAAATTTTATGCGTTTTAAAATAATTTATTAATTACACAAGAAAATAATAATTAAAATAAATTAATTTTAAAAGAAACAAAACTTTTTAAATATTAATAAACAATAATTTCATGCAATCCAAGATGATTTGGCACCAGGGTGGATTGATACTATTTACGGTCAATCCGTTCTGAACCAAAGCACTAGTTTTTAGTGATTACAACACTTTTTAAACTCTTTTCAGGATCTCACACTGCTTTATGTTTCTTATCTACACGGAAAGGACTTGTCCACTTCTAGACTGACTGTCTTTACCCTAATTGTGGAGATCCTATTTTATTTTCCCTCTACGAATAATTACAAAATTTAAATCACAATTGAAATGTGCCATGCATATCTTCTATATGTTTATATCACTCAGACTTTCCTTTTCTTTGGATTCGAACCCACGACTTTCGGCATAGTACGCTGCTGCTCTAGAAACCCTGAACTGGAACCCTACATACATACAAAGTTTTTTTTTTTCACAATCACCCTGGGGGTGTATTTCTTGAATAGTTATAAAAACCAAAGGATGGTTCTTTTTTATTTTTATAGCAATCTACCCAAAAACGCTGTAAAATTAGATATTCACATAGTTGATTTGAGCAAGTAGAAAGACAAAAATATTAAAAAACAAAAATTTCAACTTTCAAAACAATTTGTTTAAAACATTAAAAAGTGGCAGATACATGACTGATATTTTGGAGTGTAGAATCACCAAAAAAAAATTGATCGGTGACCCACCAACCTGGTCGTACCCTTGACAGTAGAATATATTAAAAGAAGAAGAATAAGCCCATTGCTACATCTATTCTGAAATGGCTTTTTCAAGAAGACTGAAGAAGTTTATCAATCAAACTAGCCGAAGGTCGTGGGTTCGAATCCCGCTCGTGACACTGACTTTTTTTTACTNGTAATCGCCCGTGTGCTTGTCCTCAACTTTGTACTCGAAGCTGTAATGAGGAGGAGCCTGGAAAAAAAAAAAAAAAAAAAAGTCACTGTAATTTCAAAAAATGTTGATGTCCAAAGCGTACATAGTAGTCGACGTGTTCATGACGTTCTTCTCCACCGTAGAGAGCAGAAGCGACAGCCATGCAGGCAGCAAGAACAACGAATAATTTCATTTTTCCTTCAAGCTTGGATTGTCAGAACCAAATCAAGACTGACTTCAATGTGAGCAAATCTGGCTTATATAGTCATTTCTCTCTCTCTTCCTTTTCCTCCCCCTTTTTTAATTGTATTATTGCGTTTCCTTATAGTTTACGCCTCCTTGACTTTCTAATTATTCATCCAATAACAATTATTCATATCATATTTGATTTTTTATAAAAACTGTCAATAAAAGATGATACGTAAACTTTTACTCGAAGACGAGTTGAGTGTCACAATTGACTACATTAGCTTGAATTGTCATTCAATGATCAATGATGCTGAAATATTAAAAAATGCAAGACAAGTTTCATAAGGTTCCACTGTCATGAT